CAACTAGTCATTAGTGTAATACTATCCTTACCTTTTGTGTCACTTTACCCCACTCCCTCTAGCATGTATGCTCATTGAGCAGGGCCCTCAACCCTTCTGTTCCTGTGTGTCCAACTTGTCTGGTTAAAACTACATGTTTGTTCGTCCACCCACTGTAAAGCGCTGCAGAATTTGTTGGCGCTATATAAATAATAACATAATAATAATAATAACTAAGAGGAAAAACTGATTGACTTCATTGTGAGAGCTACAGAATATTTACTGACCCACAACTATTTCTCTGCTTGTGGTGTGGTCAGGTAGCTGTAATCAGGCAAGGAGTTTGTGCATCAGATCAATCAAAAATACTTTATTTTATCATTTGCTGCCAGTGTGGAACTTGAGAAAGCACAGTTCTTGAATTTGGAATTTGAACATTGTAATGGGTCTGTGATTACCAGATTATATCTGAAAGAATAGAGTCCCAATATTATTTTACATGTGTATTCTTGTCACCTTCCTCATACTATTAGGGCTATATATACAAATAATTTTCTTCATATTTGGAAAAATTTAACTTTGAGGGTTTTATAAGGGAGTCGTGTGCTCTTAAAGAGAGACTTCTATGCAGAGAATATGTTGGAAAACCTTTTCAGGACGCTATCAAGAACGTTTTATTTACAATCTCGAAAGTAAACCATGGTTTTATGAAGTAACCAGTTGAGGAGCAACCAATAATAATTGGATCTGCTAGTTTGACCTAATATAATAATAATAATAATAAAATAAAAACATTTGGTTTCTGCAAGGCAGAGGAGGGATTATGTCCCTGGGTGTGTGAGACAAGCTTCAGCCCTCTATCTGGTGATGGTAAGATTAAAATATTACTAAATATGGATGTAAAGCAGTGGCTAGACGTGAACCCACATTGGGTAATATGTTGTCACCACCTTTCTTTCCATCAAGACCTAAAAGTGTGATCACCTGGTTAAATAAAAAGGGGACCTATAAATGTGAATCCTAGTGATACCTGAATTGTTTTTACGATTATCTATCATCTAGGTTTGGGAGGCTTGCTCCCCTCCCTCTTATTTACTTATCTTTAAAAAAAAAAAAAAAATTCTTATATATTGTATCTTTTGTAATTTCACCCTTTGCCTCCATAACATCAAGGAGGTGCAAAAACCTGAAGGACATCTTAGTGCATAGTCACTTTCAAAAACCTCCACCTTCTATTCATTGGTTATCTAATAAATTAACAGGCACATATAAATGTGGACGATGCAAAGCCTGCAACTTCATATGCAAAGATTCAAAGTGCTTTGTAAATAGCACCCACACTGAAAAATTTCAACCATATTCGTTCTTCAACTGTAACACCAAAGGCTTGGTATATCTTATTACAGGGAGTGCAGAATTATTAGGCAAATGAGTATTTTGACCACATCATCCTCTTTATGCATGTTGTCTTACTCCAAGCTGTATAGGCTCGAAAGCCTACTACCAATTAAGCATATTAGGTGATGTGCATCTCTGTAATGAGAAGGGGTGTGGTCTAATGACATCAACACTTTATATCACGTGTGCATAATTATTAGGCAACTTCCTTTCCTTTGGCAAAATGGGTCAAAAGAAGGACTTGACAGGCTCAGAAAAGTCAAAAATAGTGAGCTATCTTGCAGAGGGATGCAGCACTCTTAAAATTGCAAAGCTTCTGAAGCGTGATCATCGAACAATCAAGCGTTTCATTCAAAATAGTAAACAGGGTCGCAAGAAGCGTGTGGAAAAACCAAGGCGCAAAATAACTGCCCATGAACTGAGAAAAGTCAAGCGTGCAGCTGCCACGATGCCACTTGCCACCAGTTTGGCCATATTTCAGAGCTGCAACATCACTGAGTGCCCAAAAGCACAAGGTGTGCAATACTCAGAGACATGGCCAAGGTAAGAAAGGCTGAAAGACGACCACCACTGAACAAGACACACAAGCTGAAACGTCAAGACTGGGCCAAGAAATATCTCAAGACTGATTTTTCTAAGGTTTTATGGACTGATGAAATGAGAGTGAGTCTTGATGGGCCAGATGGATGGGCCCGTGGCTGGATTGGTAAAGGGCAGAGAGCTCCAGTCCGACTCAGACGCCAGCAAGGTGGAGGTGGAGTACTGGTTTGGGCTGGTATCATCAAAGATGAGCTTGTGGGGCCTTTTCGGGTTGAGGATGGAGTCAAGCTCAACTCCCAGTCCTACTGCCAGTTCCTGGAAGACACCTTCTTCAAGCAGTGGTACAGGAAGAAGTCTGCATCCTTCAAGAAAAACATGATTTTCATGCAGGACAATGCTCCATCACACGCGTCCAAGTACTCCACAGCGTGGCTGGCAAGAAAGGGTATAAAAGAAGAAAATCTAATGACATGGCCTCCTTGTTCACCTGATCTGAACCCCATTGAGAACCTGTGGTCCATCATCAAATGTGAGATTTACAAGGAGGGAAAACAGTACACCTCTCTGAACAGTGTCTGGGAGGCTGTGGTTGCTGCTGCACGCAATGTTGATGGTGAACAGATCAAAACACTGACAGAATCCATGGATGGCAGGCTTTTGAGTGTCCTTGCAAAGAAAGGTGACTATATTGGTCACTGATTTGTTTTTGTTTTGTTTTTGAATGTCAGAAATGTATATTTGTGAATGTTGAGATGTTATATTGGTTTCACTGGTAATAATAAATAATTGAAATGGGTATATATTTGTTTTTTGTTAAGTTGCCTAATAATTATGCACAGTAATAGTCACCTGCACACACAGATATCCCCCTAACATAGCTATAACTAAAAACAAACTAAAAACTACTTCCAAAAATATTCAGCTTTGATATTAATGAGTTTTTTGGGTTCATTGAGAACATGGTTGTTGTTCAATAATAAAATTAATCCTCAAAAATACAACTTGCCTAATAATTCTGCACTCCCTGTAGATGTCAATGCGAGCAGATGTATGTGGGCAAAACATTTCACCCTTTTAAACAACGGATTTTGGAATATGTGAATTTGGTGAGAACTACAAGAGACATAGATACTCCTATATCAAGGCATGTCAAGCTTGCACACCAAGGTGACCTTACGATCCTGAAGTTTATGGGCATAGAATGGATCAAACTTGACCAACGGAAAGGTAATTTAGATAAGCACTTGTGAAGAAGAGAGTGCTTCTGGATCTATTGTTTAAATACTCTATTCCCCCAAGGTTTAAATTAAGGATTCTCCTACTCTCCCTTTATTAATGAGCTCTGAGAATTTTTAACAACTATACTGAAGCAATTATGACCAATGTATTTTTTCACTGTAAATATACACACTCACCTTTTTATTTATTAATGTTTTTTCGAAGATATAATCTGGATCATTTTGTTATCAGCATTTTGTAATTTACAACACAAATTTAACTGGTGGCTTGCATCTTACATTAATATCAACATTTATATCAACACATAGCATTAGGAGGGAATGCAAGAGCATAATATAATGAAATGGATTTATAAGATGCAATCCACACACCATAGTTAGAAACATGGATCACTATGGCACTCTTATTCTACAGTGTTAAGCATCCATTATAAATATTACGTAATCATTATAAGTGATATACAATGAAGCACAGTGATTGTAACAAAGCCAATTTGATAGAGTGCATTTCAACACTATCACTAGGAATTCTTAGCATTAGTTTATCATTGAGTTTTATGACATATAAAAGGTTGTTTAAGTCCCGCCCTCTCCTCATCGCTTGACTATCCACATAGAGAGGATGACAATGAGTTAATACCATCAATAAGTCATAGCTCCGCCTATACCATAGGTGTTTTCCTTGGAGCTGTAGAACATTGTACTGATCTGATCTGATAGTGAAACCGTTGTGACTTATACCATTTTAACTTAGACACCCAGGTAGCTTATTCCAGTAACAATATTTTAAACAATATTGTGATTCTGGGGCAATACCCTCACAAGTCAAACCTGAGAGGTCAGTTTATAGGGAAACTGTTGCCGGGATACAATTCTAAAACAATTTCCATATGTCCTTTGCAGACTTTACATGCTGGAAAAACACAGGTGCCAACTGCTGTGGGTTTTTGCAGTGTGCATACCGGCAAGGAGGTCAGGGTTGAGGAGTGGGTGGAAGATGATGTGGAGGATGAAGACCCCACATGAAATCAAGGTCATGCGAGTGATGTGTGCAGTTTGGAGGAAGAGGCGCTAGCTGCACAGAGGCACCAGCACAGCATAAGAGGGAGCAGGGTGCAAAAGCGGAGCGGTGGTCCCCTAGCACTCATCAGCATGTATTATCTTTAGATTTCCCACAGTTTTCCAAGTAACAGTTGAAGCGATGAAATGAACCATAACAGATTTAACGAGCCAGTCGCAGTTTCGCAGTCCGGTGACCGGGACCCAGACACTGTCTGGGCGGCGGTAGGACTACCGCGACCCAGCATGCCTGATGTAGAAGTTAGGAGTCACAACGTGGAATGGATTAGCAGGATTTGGTGCAGGGTAACCGCACTCCCCCTGGTGCTGAGCACCAGTGTTTGTGCGGCAACATACAAAGACCCTGATGCAGCTTCAGTAAAAAGAGTACTGGATACAAGAAGCCATCACAAGACTGATCCGCAACTTGGAACAGGATGTGACATTCACTGTAGCGGCTGTGCGCGCTTTCAGCATTCTCAACCTGCTGCTGCTTGCCTGTCTGCGCTGCAGCGTAACTTTGGCCTTCCCGCTCACTGCCTCATATGTGACTTGCCCACTCCACCTTGCACATGCTGGAGAGACTGTTTGAGCAGCAGCAGGCGATAGTGGAGTTTCAGCTGCAGCATGCATCGGTCAGTGGATCTGCACCAGACTTCCCTCCAATTGATCAGAGTTAAAGGATTTCAAGTGGACCCATTACAATTAGAGGACCCCTAACGAGTCCTGTATTGTTATTTGTCGTCACTACCTTCCCGCATCGGGAGCGGGTCATTTGCGCGCCTGCTGCCTTCCTTGCACGTGGTAGCCATTTGTCAGGGTCCCTGTATGGAATGGAACCCTGATTTCCCGTTGCCCGTGGTCACCATGGTAGGCGCAGTTAATGGCATCGAAAGTTGATATGGATTGACATACGAATGCGCGGTTGCCTTCTTGTTGGGGAGCACATAGAAAAAGTGCTCTAGCATGACGAGCTGGGTGATCTCCTCCAGTAACTTGGCTTGATGGGAGTTGAGCCAGTTCTGGGTGGCCCTTGTGATGCCACGGTGTATACCCAGATATATCCGAGCTGCTGCAGAAAGTGTGGGCCGTCTGTGCCCGCTTTTGGCGTTCTCACCCTGCTGCTGCTGCCTGCAGCAGGCGATAGTGGAGTTTCAGATGCAGCACGCACAGGTCAGTCGCTCTGCGGAACAGTTTTCTTTTTTTTATATGTCCCAATATTTTGTGGGCTACCACAATTAGAAAAAAACAAAACATAAAAAACTGTGTTGGCTACCTCATCCTCCTCCTCCACCGCTGCTTCCACCTACACCGCCACGGTCACTGCCTCCACAACCTATGAGTCACTTAGTATAAACTATGTACACATTAGCAGAGGCTTGAGAAGGCCTTTTCTCCATGCATCAGGAGTTGAGCATTTCTCCATGCATCAGGATTACAAGAAATGCACCGCAGGCCGCAAATGTATCTTTTTTTTATATGTCCCAATATTTTGGGGGCTACCCCAATTAAAAAAAAATATATATATATATATATAAGTATATATATATACATAAAAAATAGTGTTGGCTACCTCCTCCTCCTTCACCGCCGCTTCCACCTACACCGCCACGGTCACTGCCTCCTCAACTTATGGGTCACTTAGTATAAACTATGTACACAATAGCAGAGGCTTGTGAAGGCCTTTTCTCCATGCATCAGGAGTTGAGCTCAGTTTGAACAATGAAAGAGAATACCCTGCACTCCAACCCTCTCTCAAATGGATAATTCTAGTAATCCTCCTGACAGCCATGCATTAGATTTTGATTTATGTTCTTCCAAAGCTAAAATCAAAGATTCCATCTAGTGCTTTTTTATGGCTCAGCTGTATTTTTAATTTTTATGTTATTTTAAGTCCACATTTGTTTGCAGGGCACTTGTCCTACTCTTACCCCCATTTCTACTTCCCTTTGCAGCTCTCTAGCCCTTTCCAGGAGTTTTTAGAGGCATTTTTGTGGCCAAAAGTTCGGATCCCCATTGACTTCAATGGGTTTCGGGGGCAAGTACGAGCCCAAACCTGGATTTTTTTTCAAACTTCGTCCCAACCCGCTGGACCAGAACATCCAGGTGTCCACTCAACTCTAACCACAAACTTTGAAACAGGTAGGGTCTATCGCCATTTCAGAAGAGAGTCAGAGTAGACTCAGATCACTTCAGTACTTCTGATTATGAGTCTACTGACAATGACGAGGGTGAAACCACAAGCATACAAAAGTCCATAGATGTGCCACCCCCACCCCCCAAAAAGCATACTCTGCAAAGGGGTTGATTTTTTAGGCCAAAGAGCTTCAGGGCCCCAGGACCAGACTATCACAGAAAAGAGGCCAACGGAGATACCGCAAATAAAAGAGAATGACATCAAGGTCATAAGCTTATCTACTACTAGTCTTTCCAAGGTAGAGACCTTAACACTTCAAAAAGGTCTTACTTTTGTACCGGTATCTCCCTTTAATAAATTTGTCTGGACAAAATACCTTAATTTGTTTGCTCATAAGTTAGCATTGTCTAAATATCATGCCCTCAAAAGAGAACAAAAAACACAAAGCATGGGTTTGACCACTAAAGATCTAGATTGTCTTGACACATTAGTGGAACTCTTGGAAAGTAATGACGATACAAGACCCAATAATATACGGAACACCGGTCTTAAACCTAAGAGTAAATTTATACAACACCTGAAAGATTACAAAAACGATGGATATTGAGTAAATAAATCCTAATGATCTAGACTTTAGAATGAACAATAATCTCTCTAAAAATGAAAGGAAGGCATTACAATCTCTAAGTACTAACACCAACATAATCATCAAACCCTCTGATAAGGATGGGAACATAGTGATAATGTATCATCCCAAATATGTATTTATGGTGAATAGCCTCCTTGATGATAGAGAGACATAACATATACAATCAAGAGACCCATCCTTGGAGTACCAGAGTGAATCAAAGGTTTCACTGTCTGAAGCCATGAACAACAGACTTATCACAAAAGAAGAGTTTGAGTTCATGTTTGTTAAACAACCACTGTTTCTACTTTTTACAGGCTCCTCAAAATACATAAATCATTGGTAAACCCCTTGGGGAGACCGACTGTCTTGGGTACAGGGAATCTCACTCAGAATGACAGTATTTACATAGACAAAATTATGTCCCCAATAGTACCCACATAACCTTCCTTTGTGAGAGATACCAAACAAATGTTACAAATACTGAAAGACGTACAAGTACCAGAGGGGGCACTACTATGTAGTTTAAATGTAGAATCATTGTACAGCTCCATCCCCCATATGTTGGGGATTGAGAATGTGAGAGCTACACTACAGAGTGAACAAAATACCCTGTTGAGTTACATTAATATCATCTGTGACTTACTTCAATTTGTACTCACAAGAAACATTTTTCTATTTAATGGTGTTATCTACCATCAAATCAAGGGAACAATGATGGGGACGTCGTGTGCCCCTTCCTATGCCATTTTATACCTTGGCACATGGTAAGGTCCATTTCAAAATGACCAACATGTATCACCCTACCTTGATAAAATACACTGTTGGAAGAGGTACATAGACAATGTCTTTGTGATATGGCTGGGATCTGTAGATCAATTCAAAGAATTTGTACAAATACTGAAAGTGAATAATCTCAATCTGAGATTCACTAGTGAGGTTGGAGGTAGGAATTTGAATTTCCTGGACATCACTGTCTCCATACAACAATATTAAATCATAACAACCACGCTATATCGCAAGACAACAGCAACTAATAGTCTATTAAATTGGTCTAGTCATCATCCATACTCATCCATAGCAGGCATTCCTATAGGAATTTCTAATTCCTGGTTGATTTTAAAATCAAATCCTGGGAAAGCAATTAAAGAAAAAGGCTACCCAAATAGGGTTCTAAAAAAAGCCTACTCCTATTCAGACCATGACTCACTACTCTCAGAACGTATTCCATCTTCTGATCACCTTATGCGTTGCAAAGGGACCTTTGATGCAGGCTGGACAAACATGTTGAATATTCTCATTCTATTGGCAACTACTTACTTCTGACCCACACATTAAACAGGTTATTCCCTTATTTTTGTCAGTTACAGCACGGAGAGGCAGGAACCTTAGTGACATGCTTGTACCTAGTCACTTCTGCCCCCCGAGTAGACCCTTAAACCAATATCTACCAAAGGGGACGTATAAATGTGGCCATTGAAGTGCATGCCCATACATACAGTGGCGTACATACCGGGGTCAGCCCGGCCACCCTGCAACCCGGTTTTTATGCCAGTGTGGCCCTGGTGTCACCGGGCGGCGAGGGAGCACTCTACCCTGAGCGCTCTCTGCCAGGTCCCTCGAGTGCACGGCACCGCACTGATGCCGAAGCCGGAATATGACGTCATGTGTATGTGTGTTAAAACATGTGTATGTGTGTTAGTGTTAGAATGTGTGTGTGTTAGTTTTTGTGGCAGTGTGTGTGTTACTGTGTGTGTGTCTGCTGGTGAGTGTCAGTGAGTGTGTTAGTTTTTGTTTGTGCGTGTTAGTTTGTGTGTGTCTGTTATGGAGTGTGTGTCTGCTAGTGAGTGTCAGTGTGTGTGCTAGTTTGTGTGTCAGTGAGTGTGTGTTTATCAGTAAGTGTGTTACTGTGTGTGTCTGTTACTGAGTGTGTTAGTTTGTGTGTGTCTGTTATTGAGTCTGTTTGATGTCTGTGTGTTTGTCAGTGAGAGTGTATGTTTTGTAAGTGAGTGTGTATGTGTGTCTGTCTTTCAGTGAGTGTGTATGTATGTATATCGCTGAGTGTGTCTCTGTCAGTGAATGTGTGTGTCTGTTAGCTAGTGTGTATGCATCTGTTCGTGAGAGTGTGTGTTTTTAAAACCCCTTTAGCACTTACCTTTCTCCAGCGCTGGACTCCCTTGGCACTGGAGATCCCTCCACCCCGATCCGCCTCTCAGCTCCAAATGCGCATGCGCGGCAAGAGCCGCGCATGCGCATTCAAACCACCCATAGGAAAGCATTGCTTAATGCTTTCCTATGGACATCCAGCGTCTTCTCACTGTGAACATCCAGCGTCTTCTCACTGTGAAAACCCTCAGTGAAACATAGCAGTTTCTCTGAAACTGCTATATTTTCAGCTGCAGTGTTAAAACTAGAGGGACCTGGCACCCAGACCACTTAATTGAGCTGATGTGATCTGGGTGTCTGTAGTGGTCCTTTAAGTGTGTGTGTATCTGCATGCACTGGCGCACATACCAGGTGCCCACCGCCATGTGTTGCGGCCCTGGCCTGCGCGGACAGGAGGGGGGGCCCACGGACCAATTTTCACACCAGTGCCCCATGGGTCGTGTGTATGCCACTGCATACATAGCTAAGGAAACTAAGACCTTTTCAGACAGTAAGAATCAAGAATTCTTTTCAACCCTTTCCTTTTTCAATTGCCGCACAGAAGGGGTTATCTATTTGTTAACATGTTCCTGCATCATGAAATATGTTGGGAAAACTTTCCACCCCTTGAAGTTCACGCATAAGGGAACATGTCAACTCAATAAGAAGAAAATTTGAGACCCCTATCTCACAACACTGTAAGACTCAGCATGCCAATTCCTCAACTAGGATATGGTTTATGAGTATTGAATATATCCCCCAAACCAAACGTAGGGGAGATTGGGATAGGAAGCTAAGACAGAGGGAGTAATTTTGGATATACAGACTCAACACAATCACACCACAGGGTCTCAACGAAGGCTTTTCCTTTTCTGCATTCTTGTAAACACGGCTAAGATTTTTTACTTTATCAGAGATTAGTTATTTGTAGTACAGTATATACTTATTTCTTGTATACTTGTATATAGAATATAGCGTTATTATTTTAATATTTCTACTATATTTGTGTTTGAGCATATCGGTCCTTACCGTCCCGGTGATTACCCCACAGATTGCTCT